CCGCCATCAGATGGCTTAAGATGAGCGACATGATCAACAGATATCCGTTCTGCTTCAACAGTCTTCAGCAAAGCAAGAGGAGGGAGAGAGAAGGGAATCCGAAAGTCAATCAATTTATTGTGAAACAAGGATTTAAAATATGAAAAAGGATAGCAGCAGTCATATAACCCAACCTCAATAGTATAGCTCGAGCGAACAAAGATAAGCTGTGGAATCCCATCTATGACATGAAGTTCTGTGGTTGTAATAGCAAGCACCAGAATTAAAAATTAATTTCGTTAGTAAAAGAAGCATGCAAAATGACAAGAAAATTGACCAATATATACACCAATAAAACAAAGCAGAATCCTACTTTTGAAAGAATAGAAAGCAGAATAGTTAAGTTAGAAAAGCGGTTTTTGTTATCTTTTGTACAGCTTTTTATAAAGCTTTTTTTTTTATTGTTTCTAGGCTCTAGTATATTATGTGTGTGTGTGTGTGAGTGAGTTTTGATTCACTCAAGCATAAGTCAGTAAAAAGCTATTAATTTTAAGTTGATATCAGAGCGGATATGATCCCACTCGGCTTGTCACCATCCAGCATTATTCATTGTCGTCATTGCCGACGGCAGCCACCATCAATATCTCCAGCAACCACTGGATCTGGTATGCCTCTACAAGCAACACCCAACCCCTGCGATTGCAGAGGCTAAAACCCCCGCACACTCTTCCACACACCACTTCTTTGCACAGTCAAGACGGGCATGAGTTACACATGTTGCCTTCTGGTGATCAGAGTGACACCATGTCTTGTGTTCCCACCTTTGTTTGGATGGTGGATTGGATATGATTACATTTTTGGGCTTCTTTTCTTCTCTGCTTACTGTAGAATGGCGTCTGGCCCAGTTTTTTCTTTTTCTGGGACTCCCACAATAACTTCAGTAAAAACTTAATGGCAAAGATTATTTGTCCTGTTCAGACTTCAGCCTCCATTGAACTTTGGTTTCTTGGCCAAGGTTACCATGATCACCTTCTAAAAGACAGTCGTGATGTATCTTCAGATTATATTGAACAATGGAAGAAGTTGGATTTTCAACTTTGTGCTATGTTTTGGTAATCAGGGCAGGGGAACCCAATATACTGGGAATCCTTAGAACATTCAAAACCTGTAAGCCAATATACATTTTGCAAACCTGTAACACTATATTCACCTCTCTGTCTCCTCCAAAATTTCCTCATCTAATTACCTTAGCAAATGGCTCTAAGGTTGCTTCCAAGGGAGTTGGTCAAGTCTCTATCTCCCTCCTTAAACTTAGAATTTGTCCTACTTGTTCCCAATTGTCATTTCAATCTAAGTCAAACAGGTCATTAAATTATTATGACACATTTGATGTCAATTCTTTTATTAAACAGGAACGTGGTACATGTCGATTGATTGGCATAAGACAAGAATCTAGAGGACTTTACTGTCTTGAAACGAGTCCATTCATGTCCTGTTTTGCATCTCCATCTCCTAAACTTCTACAGGTTCGCTTGTCATTCAAACTTGTCAAAGTTGAAGAAAATGGTTCCTGAATTCAACAAACTTCAAACCTTTGACTGAGAGTCATGTCAAATAGAGAGACATGTTAGGTCTTCTTCCCCAAAAAGATTTGAAACAAAATGTAGCTTTGCTTTTTCTACCATTCTTTCAGATATTTGAGATCCAAGTCATGTCACATTCATTGATGAATATTCTGAATGTACTTGGACATATAAAATGAAAGAATGATATGAACTTATTGTGTCTTTCTTTAATGAGATCAAGAATCAATTTGGAAAAATAATTAAAATTCTCAAGAACAATAATACTAAAGAATAGTTTTCTTCTATTCTATCTTCCTTTTTATCCTCACAAGGCATCCTACATTAGTGCACATCCCATACACTACAATAAAATGGTATAGCCAAAAGAAAAATTAGACATTTAGTTGAAACAACACACCTTAATATGTAGTGCAAATGTTCCTGTTCATCACTAGGGTGATGCAAATCTTAATTCCTATTGTCTAATAAATACAATGCCTTCTCCATCACTTGGTAATCAGATTTCTCACTCTGTTCTTTTTCCCAAAAGAACCCTTATACGAGTCTCCTCATATTTTTGGTTGTACTTGTTTCATCCATAATGTGTTTCTAGGTTTAGTATTCTACTATTCTTGAATACTTTTGCCTTCAAAAAGGGTATCAGTGTTATTCTCCAAACACTTAGGGGGCATTTGGTACGTTGAATGATTTTACATTTCTAGGAATCTTGGTTACCCATATTTGGTAGTTATTTTAAAAAAATCCCAAGAATGTAATTTCTCGAGAACCATTTTTATTTCACTTTCTCACAAAAATATCCCCATAAAGGAGGGGGAGGGGGGGCGGGGGTGAAAATCCAACTATCCCAAGTTAGGAGGAAAATGTTATGTATATAAAAAGATCACAATATCCCTTTTTAAAACAAAAAATCTCTCTCTCCTTCTATTTCTCTTTCTCTCCCTGTCTCTCTCACTCTCACTCCCCCTCTCTTCCTCTCTCTCTACCTCTTTTCCTATCTCTCTTCGTCTTTCTCACTCTCACTCCCCCCTCTTCCTCTCTCCCTCATTTCCCCTCTCTCTC